ACTGAGGCATGCGGGCCTGTATCTGCCTTCGCCAGTATTCTCTCACGGTCAACTCTACGCGGCTTTCAGTAGAGTGGCAAGTTCGTCATGCATCAAAGTCCTCGCCCCGACAACGGCGCTCCATGGCGCGCGCCAGGAGTCCGCCACTGTCCGGGCAGAAGTGTAGATGTACTCGATGATGCCATTCTCGTAGCTCGGTGAGGAACTCCTTCCAACCGGGGCGCTGTTCGATGTTGAGCTCCTGCATGTTGGGCCAGGGTCCGCACATTGGTGACAGATGAACCTCGTCAGGCTGCTCCTCCGTCTGATGATCCTCCCTTGCGACATCCCAGCCGGCATTGAGCCCAAACGTCTCCACGCGTGCTCCGATATCTCAACGTGCTTGTGAAAGCCTGGCCTCTCCAGCGTAGACTTCCCATAACGTCCGTCTCGTAGTAAACCGTTGGTGAGCTACCCTCCTCATGGTCTGTAAGTACTGCTCGCTGGCATGCTTCACGGCTGAGTCGATCTTCTGAACGAAGTTGGTCGAAATCTGTTTGACGCCGTCATCGGGGTCGTCGTCGGTGCTGAAGTTGACTTCGTCCGTCGTAGGTGACAGTCGGCACCAGCATGGCTCCGATAGCGTGGCGTGGACTGGCTCAATGGGTGTCGTAGTGATGCACAGGTTGCCACATGAGGAATGCTGCTGACACTGTCACTGCTTCATGTAGGCTCTGCAGCAACTAACTTGTACTACGCGTCGGGAACAGCCTTCTGTGTGAGGTCGCCGTTGTGGTTGCTCCTGCTGTTCGCCGTTCTCGCTGGAGTCCGCCAGGTAGGCGTTGTCCAGAAACTCTATGCCGCTCATGGTCTCGTTGCCGGGGTCCAGGAACTGCGCTGCATCGACGGGCTCGCACTCGAGCTCCTGCTGTTCGCCGTTCTCGCTGGAGTCCGCCAGGTAGGCGTTGTCCAGAAACTCTATGCCGCTCATGGTCTCGTTGCCGGGGTCCAGGAACTGCGCTGCATCGACGGGCTCGCACTCGAAGTCGTTCGTGTGGTGACTCGTCTTCCCGTTCAACTACTCTAGTAGGTCCACCATGGATTGTCCTTGAGGTAATAGCGTTGCAGCCTCGAACTCGACGCCGTTCCACGCAACTGTCTGCTTCGCGTAGTCGACCTGAACTCCGAACACTTCCAGCAACGGCCTCGGAAATAGGATGGGCGCACGTCCCGGTACCACGTAGATGTAGAGCGTGCCTGACTTCTGCTTGAAGCTGGCAGGTATTGCGCCACACCATTGCGCATATTCGATCTTGCCGTTACCGAACCGAAAAGGCTGTCGGCACTTGTAGAACCGGAGGTCCTTGATTGGATAGCCCTTCTGTCGGCAGTCCCTCACGTAGTCCTTGATCGTCTCTGAGCCGGACATAAGGGACGTCGCTCCACAGTCCATGACTCCATGGTTTGCTCGCATTGCGCTGGTGTTGGCCTTGCTACGACACTTGTCGCCCCAGTAGACCTCATCGGCCATCAAGCTGTCGTCGGCGTGGACCCGCTTCTTGTTGGGAGACTCGGTGCAGCCCCTAGCCCAGCGGCCGGGCTTGCCGCGTCGTGGGCAGTTAGCCGATGGTGTTGATGTCGGCGTTGGCGTCGTAGCTGGCCTTGCCCTTCCCATTGGATCCGCTGTCGCAGGTCGTGGTCTGCTGTATACGCCTGGAGGTGATGATCATTTCGGGCTGCCCATTCTTCCTTTGGACTTGCCGCGTCCTTTAGTGCCTTTGCTGCTTGACCGGCCTCGTCCGTGTGAACCTCCTGCTGATGCTGCGGCCGAACCTGAATTTCCGCCTACCATCGCCACTACCGGGTAGACACCGCGTGCTAGCTTCAGGTCGTTGAACTGCTTCCTGGCGTCCGCGTAGGCCGCGTAGACTTCGTCGTACTCGCCTGGGTCGAGCTCTTGAGCTGTGTCGGGGTCGCGCTGGTAATAGCTCTCGTCGCAGTCGCACCAGGTCTCGTCATCCTCCGCCCAGTACGTCTGGTCGTAGTCGTCTGGCTCGTCCTCTGGCTCGCTAGTGTAGAATTCTTCATCGTCGTACTCTGCTGTGTCCTCGTCGACGAAATACTGCTTCCGTGCGTGATTCGGCTCGTGCATGATACTCTCCTGCCCGAACGTTGTCTCCAACGCCTCAATAACCTTCTCCTGTGTGAAATCCTTACCAACTACCGACATGATGACCGCCTTCTGGTCCGCGCTGTATCCTCCTCGTCGTAGCGCGAGCCAGCCTCGGACCTTCGCCGGTAGCTCGATGTCGTGCGTCCTGAGCTTGCGCTCTGCAGCGCGCACTCTTGAGATGTAGGCGAACAGCGTCTCGCCCTTGTGCCGCTTGAGCTTGAAGAAGTACTCCTCGAAGTCGTCCGCAAGCTCCGTCCTGTCGTCCATCTTGAAACGATTCCGTAATCTGGTCATGAGTTGTTTCGCCGCGTTGGGATTGATGAGCTCGTCTGCTGAGAGATCCTCCACTTCGTCCCAAGCTTCGCCTGTGAGACCTGCGCTGAGCATGAGAGCCGCTTCGCCCTCCCTCTTCTCCAATGTGAGCTTCGCAATGAAAATCATCGCCCGCTTCTCGTATTCTTTCCATCTGCTGAGCGTGCCGTCGAACTGTGGAACTCCTCGCTCCGGTAGCATGTCCGCCATTGGCTTAGACATCGTGCTGGACTGAAGCTGCAAGGGGTTACCGTCCGATGCTTGCTGCTCGAAATCGAAACTGTCCTTGTCTATGAAGCCGACTGTGAGGTCGTGTGTGTGGGCTACCCAGAAACTGACTTGAAAATCTCCTCTGAGATCTGCTGTGAAATCGCTGAGATCTGCTGCGAAATCGCTGAGATCTGCTGGGAGATCGAAGCTGCTTATGGAGTTGGCGACCTGATCCGAAGAGAGGCCGCTGAGATATGGAAGGTCGAAGCGTGAGCCTGGCTTACCAGGCTCCGCTACCAATATGAACTTATCAAAGCATCCGAAGTCTTTGATGGCAATAAGAATGAAAAGCCAGAAGAATGTCAGATGATATCTTCACACCGCTGGCGCGCTCTACTCAAGGGCCCTAGAAAGGGTTTTGGGCCAAAGCGTAACAGTACGCTCGCTGTGCTACAGTCATGCTCTGCACAATGCACGATATATACAGCGTATATCGCACAACGCCAAGAGGCCTCCCAAATCGCCCCAAGAAGACGCCAGCGGCCCCTAAGAGGGCTCCAAGGCGGCCCACAAGAGCCCCAAGACGACGCCAAAGAGCCCTGAAACAGCTTTACAGAACCCCAAGACGGCCCCTAGAGAGCTCCGAGGGGGCCCCAAGAGGCTCCCAAGACGGCCTCAGGCAGCCTCAAGAGAGTTCCAAGACGGTCCATGGCCTCCCGGACGCCCCGTGACGGCCCAAAAGGCCCCAAAACGTCCCAAAACGCTCCCAGAGCAGCCCCAAAAAACTTCAGAATGGCCAGAAAAAGACCCCCACAAGGACCACCAAGCAGGCCCAGAGACGCCCACAAAAAGAGCGATTGGTGAAGTACAAAGCTCTTGACACCAAGGTTCTCAAGAGCGAGCCGCAGCGTAGAGAGCTCTCCCAGGCAGAGCTCCCAAAAGCGAGCGGTGACGTGACCAGCCCTTCACTCGCAAAAGCGAAAGAGTTCCGAGAAGCTCCCAAATTATCCCTCGGAGAAGGCAGCGCCCGCCTTCAGGTTTCTAGAAGACAAACAGAAACAGGTTTCCAGAGCCTGCGAGACGCACCGGGGGAACCTGAAGGTCGTGGGCGAAGTCCACGGGTCCGCCCTAGTCAGCTACAGCGCTGGGATCAGCGCGTGCCAGAATGGCGAGGAGTGGCAGCGGGCCCTGGCGCTGCTGAGCGAGATGCGGGAGGCGAAGCTGGAGCCCAGCGTCATCTCTACTACATTGCAGGGCCCCGCGCGTGCGAAAAGTATGATTCGGACCAAAATGGCGTAGCAGGCGACCCGGCGGCCCCTCAGGAAAACCGGCATGTTTGGCATTCTCGTCCTTTTCGTTTCCGACGCGTCCACGACGCCCAAAGAGCCCCCCAAGATCGCCCCAAGATGCCCCCGATCAAGGTTCCAAGACGGACCCAGGACAGCCCGAGAGGCGCCCAAGACGGCCCAAAAGGCACCCGAGATAGCCCCAAAGACGGCCCCAGACGGCCTCAAACGGCCCAGTAGGCGCCCAAGACGGTCCACCACGACGGCCCCAAGACGGCCCAGAAGGCACCCAAGACAGCCCCAAGAGCCGCCCAAGACGGTCCAAGACAGCCCCCAGACGGCCCAAAAGGCGCCCAAGACAGCCCCAAGAGGCCCCTTCAAAGCTGAAAAGAAGCCCCCACACGGCCCGCAAGAGGCCCTGCTGCTGAAGGGGCTGATTGCCATGTGGATAGCTATTCGGCAGCATTCCCGCCGACACCCCGAGAATACTCTCGGCCAGATGTCGTGGACGGAGTCCACGGGTCAGCCCTGGTCAGCTACAACGCTGGGAGCAGCGCATGCGAGACAGGAGTGCAGTGGCAGCTTGCCCTGTCGCTGCTTGGCGAGATGCGGCAGGCGAAGTTGGAGCCCGACGCAGCCAGCTACAGCGATGCGATCAGCGCGTGCGGGACCGGCGAGGAATGGCAGCGGGCCTTGTCGCTACTTGGCGAGATGTGGAAGGTCAAGTTGGAGACCGACGCCATCAGCTACAGAGCTGGGATCAGCGCCTGCGAGACAGGAGTGCAGTGGCAGCTTGCCCTGTCGCTGCTTGGCGAGATGCGGCAGGCGAAGTTGGAGCCCGACGCAGCCAGCTACAGCGATGCGATCAGCGCGTGCGGGACCGGCGAGGAATGGCAGCGGGCCTTGTCGCTACTTGGCGAGATGTGGAAGGTCAAGTTGGAGACCGACGCCATCAGCTACAGAGCTGGGATCAGCGCCTGCGAGACGGCAGTGCAGTGGCAGCAGGCCCTGTCGCTACTCAGCGAGATGCGAGAGGCGAGGCTGCAGCCCGACGTCATCAGCTACAACGCTGGCGTCAACGCGTGCGCGAGAGGTAGACAGTGGCAGCGGGCTCTGTTGCTATTCAGCGATATGCGGAAGGCGAAGTTGGAACCCAACACAGTCAGCTATAACGCCGTCATGAGCGCGTGCAATAAAGCCAAACAGTTGCCGCGGGCTCTATCACTGTTTGAGGAGATGCGGGCGGCGAGGTTGGAGCCCGACTGCAAAAGCTACAGCATCGGGATCAGCGTGCACCAGAAAGGAAAGCGGTGGCAGCAGGCTCTGTCGCTGCTTCGCGAGATGTGCGGGGTGAAGGTGGAGCCAAACGTCTTCTGCACCACAAATCTGGCCGCAGTGCGTGCGAAGCGGGCGAGAGGCTCGAGGCCTCGGCGCGCCTCGGGGCGCACCGCGCCAGGCTCCAGAGTGAGGACCCCAGGACGGCCTCGGGCGGCCCCGAGGGCAGCTCTGATGCGCTCAGGAGGGCGGCAGGACGGCCCAAGAGGACCCGAAGCGAGCCCCACGGCGGCCCCAAGGGGGGGGCCAGACGACCGGCCAGGAGGCTCGAGAGACGGCCCACGAGGACCCCGATGACGGCGCCAGGAGGTCAAATGCCAGCCAGTGCAGACCCCGAATCGATCAGAAGATTGAATAGAAGTGGGCTGGAGTGGATTGCAGTAGACTGCATGGGAGTAGATTGGACTGGACTGGCGTGGGCTCTACTCCATTCTATTCTACTCTATCATATTATATCAAACTCGATGTTACCATCTACCCTACTCTATTATGTTCTATTATGCCCTGTTCTACTCTACAATGCCCTGTCGATACCTGCCAGACCCCACACTTCTCTACTCCGACCCTACTCGACTATGGTATACTCTCCTCCGTTAAACTCCACACTACTCTCTCGTACTCTACCACGCTCTACTCGAGTCTACCCGACACTAGTCTATACTACATTGCAGCGACATTTGCGTGCGAGCAGGTCCTCTGTCCCGAAAGGCCGCTCGGGCCCTCTGGGGCGCCCTGCGAATCCACTGGGCCGTCCGAGACGGCACCGGGGGGGCCCAAGATGCCCCAAGACGGCTCAGAGACGCTCAAGAGGGCACCCGGACGCCCCAAGAGGACCCAGGATGGCCCCAGAGGCTTCCAAGGCAGGCCAGCAGGCTCCCGAGACGGCCCAGGAGGACCCTCAGGAGAGCCCCAAGAGGCAAAAATCGTTCCATTCTCTTCGGAAAGCGTGTGTTTTTTTAATATTTTCGTTCTGTCCGCTTGCATAGTCTCCAAGACGGCTGCACAGGCCCCCAAGACCTCCCCAAGACGCCCCCAGGCGCCCCCAGGAGGGCCCCAAAACGGCCCGAGACGGCCCCAGGACGGCTGCAGAGGCGCCTGAGACGGCCCAAGAGGCACCCAAGACAGTCCCAAGAGCTCCCAAAAGCAGCCCAAGATGGCCCCAAGACGGCCCCAAAAACGGCCCAAGAGGCGCCCAAGGTGGCCACACATCCCCCCAAAAGATGGCCCAAGAGGTGCACTCCAAACGGCCCAAGAGGGCCCCGAGAGACCCCCGGGAGGACGAAAAGAGACGCCCACACGTCCCCCAAGAGGCCTTCGATGCTTCTCTCCTGGGGAGCGTCGATGACTGGACGATCGAAGATCAGCGGGATGAAGGATCGAGGGACGAGGAGGAGCACGCCCAAAATTGCCCCACAAGCCGACAGAAGCCACCGAGATGTCCCGAGCACGACCCGAAGGAGGCTCCTACGTAGAGGTCCCAAACATACCAAAACGGCTCTTAACGAAGATCGACGGGATCAAGGATCAAGGTGAGGACGAGGAGGGCGCCCAAAATGGCCCAAAAGCCGATAGGAGCCACAGAGATGTCCCGAGCATGCCCCGAAGAAGACCCCAAGAGTGTCCAGGCACCCCGAGAAGGTCCCTAACGCGCAGCCCAAGTAAACCCAATGGACTGTTCATTACTCCAGCGTTCTATCGGTGATCCTCCCGTGCACCAGGCGCCTAGGCGGCCCCAGTGCGGACCGTCTCGGCGCCCTCTTGCGGGCTTCTTAGACGAACGAAAAGGAACATGCCCGCGCCCGCCGACCCCATTCTCACCACACTACCAGATAAACGTATCATTCGGCCCCGGCGAAGAACAGATAAAGTTATCACGGCGACGCGCCCCGCAGAAGTTATGATGAACACAGAGCGCGGCGTGAGAAACAGCTTCTGTCAACACCATGTCGTGCCTACATGGGTGTGCTTCCATTGGCACGGCCTCCACCACCGCGTTCCTGTCGTCAGGCTTGCTTGCTTGCATCCCTCGCCCACCTCCCCCTCCAGCGGCCACCTTCTCCATCCACACCGTCGCCTCCAACCTCCCCCCCGCGAGGCCCCAGAGACGCTCCATTTCCACGTCCACACCGTGGCGGACAGATTCCGCGGCCGGGAGGCCGCGGGTCAGCCCTAGTCTCTTCTCTATGGCGGACATCAGCGCGTGCCAGAAGGGCAGAACAGCGCATTTGGATAAATGCGCCCCCTGGAAGGCCATTTTTCGACACCCCTCACGAAGATCTTGGCCCCCGAGCGTCAGAAATCGAACCAAAGACACACCGAAGTGGCCATAAGAGGCTTCAAGGAGCGTCCAAGAGGCCCCCTAGAGGCCCCCAACAAGGCCCAAGATGCCTCCAAGAGCCGCCAACAGTCCTCCGAAGCATGCCCCCAGAGGCCAAACTCCATAATTTTTCCATTGTTTTTGAAGGAGTTTGCCTTCTCGCCTTCTCGGCTAGCCGACGCTCCAAGACTGCCGAAGAGACCCACAAGACCGCCCACGACGGCTCAACAGGCCTCCAAGCGCGTCCCCAGACGGCCCAGGGAGCCCCAAGATGGCCCAAGAGGCGCCCAAGACGGCCCCAGAGGACCCCAAGCCAGGCCCAAGAGAAGGCCAAAGAACCGGGAAAAACCCTGACATTCCGAGCTCTGGGCCCCCATGCGCCCACACAAGGCCCCAAGACCCCCCCAAGGGAACGCCAAGAGGTCCCCAGAGGCCCCCAAGAAGCCCAAAGCAAGCCCCACGAGGTCCCAAGGCTGTCCCCAAGAAGTCCCAAAGCTGCCTCCAAGAGGGACCCCAGACGCCTCTGAGCCATTACCCAGGCACAGGCACAGTGGCGGATTTCGCCGAAGGTCATGAGGCTTCCTATACGGCCCCACGGTGGCGGCTTTCCCTGAAGGCCCTGAGGCTTCCTAGACGGCCCAAGACGGCCACCCGACTCCCAGGATACCTCCTACCCGCCTCAGGAGCTTCCGTGATACCTCCCAGACGATCCCAGACGGCCTCAGCGCTCGAAGACGCCCACGCTAGCTTCCACAGGCCCGAGACAGCTCCAAGATGCTCCATCTGGGTTCGAAGCAGCGCCCCCATAGAGCTCGAACGCGGAGACAGATGCCCCAATCCCTCAGGAAAGCGGCAACTTGCGCTCTTGCACTGCTCGTCGTCGTCAAAGCGTCCGACACGGCCATACAGGCACCCAAGATCGCACAAAGACCCCTCAGGTGCCTCCCATCACGGCGTCAAAACAGCCCTGGACGACCCCAACACGGCTCCCAGCGCACCATGGGCTTCTGATGCTTGTTTGGCGCTCCTTGCCGGATTTGGCCCCGAAATCACTGGGCCTTTTTGTCGGTCTGGAGCCCTCTCCGCGGCCTCTTGGGGCCATGCCGTGCTTCGCATTTCTGGTGGCCCAGAATCGTTTCGGCCGACCCCGGAAGCGCGCGCGGCCACCCAAGGCGCGTCGGGCGGGATTATGGGTCGGCGGCGCGGTGGCCCAGAATCGGTCCCGCCGACTCTGGGCGGGCGGCCATTATGGAGCTATCTTGGAGGCGTGTTGGTGATCTTGGGGCCCCTCAGAGGGCCCCCAGACGGCCCCAGAACGCCCCGAGAAGGTCGGACCCAACGCACCGACAAAGCCCGACCCAATCCCAAGGGAGCCCTAGAGCGCCCCAAATGGGGCGTCCAGACGCTCCTCCGTCTCCTCGCTCAGCGATGTGTGGCAGGGGAACATGGCGCCATTCATCCTGATCGCCTTGCGGCAGCACACCTTCACCCCGCAAGTGGACGTAGTCCACGGGTCAGCCCAAGTCTCTTCTACAATGCAGCGACCTTTGCGTGCGAGAAGGCGTTTGCTTCGGAAGGCTCCCCGGGCCCTCTGGGGCGCCCTGCGAGTCCCCCAAGCGCTCCGAGATGGCTCCAAGGGGTCCCGAGACGCCCCAAGACGGTTCAGAGACGCTCAGGGGAGCGCCACGACGCCCCGAGAGGACCCCAAGCGAGCCCCAGGATGGCCCCAGAGGCTTGCAAGGCAGGCCAGGAGGCTCCCGAGACAGCCTGGGAGAACCCCCAGGAGAACCCCAAGAGGCAAAAGTCGTCCCACTCCCTTCGGGAAGCGAATGTTTGTCCTATGCCCGTTCTTTTCGTCTGCACACCTCCAAGACGGCTGCACACGCCCCCAAGATCGCGCCTAGACGCACCCAGGAGGGTCCAACAACGGCCCGAGACGGCCCCGAGACGGCTCCAGAGGCGCCCGAGACTGCCCAAGAGGCACCCACGACAGCCCCAAGAGCTCCCAATCACGGCCGAAATACGGCTCAGAAACGCTCAAGAGGGCGCCTGGACGCCCCAAGAGGACCGCATGCGAGCCCCAGGATGGCCCCAGAGGCTTGCAAGGCAGGCCAGGAGGCTCCCGTGACAGCCCAGGAGGACCCCCAGGAGAAACCCGAGGGGCAGCATCGCCCAATTCCTTGCAGGAAACATATATGTGTCATGTGTTCCTTCTGTCCGTTTGCACAGTTTCCACGACGGCTGCACAGGCCCCCAAGATCGTCCCAGACGCCCCCGACCCTCTGGGAGCCATCTCTGCGCCATTTGGGGACGTCTCGGGGCGGTGCGCTCGAAAGATCGATTCGTGTCCTCGCACCGGGGCCCGTCTTACGGAGTTCGTGGGCCCCTCTGGGGCCGTCTGGGAAGCCACTTGGCCCGTCCTGGAGACCTTTTGGGCCGTCTCGCCGCCCTCTTGCAGGCTTCTTAGGCCGCGCCCACTGGCCCCATTGTCACCACACTACCAGATAAAATTATCATTCGGCCCTGGCGAAGAGCAGATAAACTTCTCACGGCTACCCTCCCCGCAAAAGATATGATGAACACAGACTGCGGCGTGAGAAACAGTTTCTGTCCACACCATGTCATGCCTACGTGGGTGTGCTTACACTGACACCGTCTGCGCCACCGCGTTCCTGCCTCCAGGCCTGCTTGCTTGCATCCCTCGCCCACCTCCACCTCCAGAGGCCACCTCCTCCATCTACGCCGTCCCCTCCAACCACTCCTTACCCGCGAGGCCCTAGAGACGCTCCACTTCCGCGTCCACGCCATGGCGGGCAGATTCCGCGGCCAGAAGGCCGCGGGTCAGCCCTAGTCTCTACTACATTGCAGGGCCCAGTGCGTGCCAGAAGGGCGCAGGCTCCATTAACTCATAATCGCCCCGGGCTGGCCCCGGGCCGCCCCGGGAGGCCCCAAGACACGCCAAGGGGGCCCCAAGAGGCCCCCAAGACGGCCCCGGAGGGCCCCGGCACGCCCAGCGAGGGGCCCAAGACGCTCGAGATTGGCCCAAGACGGCTCCAGAGGCCTCCAAGACGCCCCAAGAGGCCTCCCAAGAGGCGCCCCAAGAGGGCCCCGAGCGGCAGAAACCGTCGATTTCCATTGTGTTTTTCGATGTTTTCGGCCTCCTTGCCTTTTCGGCTTCCCGACGCTCCAAGACGGCCCAAGACGTCCCCCAGACCGCTCCAAGACGGCCGAAGAGGACCCCAAGAGAGCCCCAAGACGGCCCCGGAGGGCCCCGGCACGCCCAGCGAGGGGCCCAAGACGCTCGAGATTGGCCCAAGACGGCTCCAGAGGCCTCCAAGACGCCCCAAGAGGCCTCCCAAGAGGCGCCCCAAGAGGGCCCCGAGCGGCAGAAACCGTCGATTTCCATTGTGTTTTTCGATGTTTTCGGCCTCCTTGCCTTTTCGGCTTCCCGACGCTCCAAGACGGCCCAAGACGTCCCCCAGACCGCTCCAAGACGGCCGAAGAGGACCCCAAGAGAGCCCCAAGACGGCCCCGGAGGGCCCCGGCACGCCCAGCGAGGGGCCCAAGACGCTCGAGATTGGCCCAAGACGGCTCCAGAGGCCTCCAAGACGCCCCAAGAGGCCTCCCAAGAGGCGCCCCAAGAGGGCCCCGAGCGGCAGAAACCGTCGATTTCCATTGTGTTTTTCGATGTTTTCGGCCTCCTCGCCTTTTCGGCTTCCCGACGCTCCAAGACGGCCCAAGACGTCCCCCAGACCGCTCCAAGACGGCCGAAGAGGACCCCAAGAGAGCCCCAAGACGGGCCAAGAGGGCCCCAAGACGGCCCCAAGACGGCCCAGGACGGCCCCAGGACGGCCCAGGAGGCGCCCAAGACGGCCCAAGAGGCACCCAAGACGGCCCCAGGAGCGGCCCAAGACGGCCCACGACAGCCCAAGAGGCGCCGAGGCGGGTCTCAGACGGCCCCGAGACGGCCCAAGAGGCACCCAAGACGGCCCGAGAGGGCCCTAAGAGCCCCCCCGGGAGGCCCAAAAGAAGGCCGAAGAGGCTCCGAAACGGCCCCCACGAAGCCTTCAGTGCCTTCAGAATTCCCTCCAGGAGCGGGGGAGCGGACGAGAGGCGACAGGCATATCGCAAGCAAAAACGCCCCAAGAGATCCCCAAACGGCCCCCACGAAGCCCTAAGTGGCCTCAGAATTGCTTCCAGGAGGGGGGGAGCGGACGAGAGGCGACCGGCATATCGAAGGCACAAAAGAACAATGTTGGACGCTCCGAGGGCCTTCGATGTTTCTCCGTTGGGGAGAGTCGTCGTAGGATCGACGATTGCCCACCGAGGGCAGCGAATCCAGTGGAAACCCAAGAGGCCCCCAGGAGCCCAAAAGAGATCCCCAAGAGGTGCCACGGGGCTTACAAACTGCTTCGAAGCGAGGGGGGCGGACGAGGGGACCGCCTCGGGAGGTTTTGGACGGTTTTGGGCCTCAAGATCGTCCGCTTTACGACGGTTTTGGAAGGATTTTGGCCTTCTCGCCTTTTCCGCTTTCCGACGCTCGAAGACGGCCCCAGAGGCCTCCAAGAGCGCCCCAGAACGGCCCAAGAGGTTTCCAAGAGCGCCCCAAGACAGCCCAAGAGGGCCCGAAGACGACCCAAGAGACGCTCAAGACGGCCCACGAGGGCCCGAAGACAGGCCCAGGAGGGGGCCAAGAGGGGGACCACGGACCGAAAATCCGAGCATTCCGCCCCAAGAGGGCGCCAGGAGGCCCAAACAGGCCCCCAAGAGGCCCCAAGGGGCCGCCAAGAATCCCCCGAAGAGGCCCCAGGAGGTTCCCAAGGAGCCCAAACGAGGACCGGCCCAAACGAGGACCGGCCTCCTCACGGTCCCAGACGGCTCCAAGACAGCCCCACGAGGACCCCGATGGGCCCAGGACGGCCTACGGACGCGCCCACGAGGGGCCCACGACGAACCAAGACGGCCCCATCAGGGCAAACGGCGCCCTCAAGACGGGCCTAGACGGCTCCAAGACGGCCCTTTGAGGGAGCCAACGCGGCCCCACACCCTTCGGGCGCACACTTGGGGGGGCTGGGAGCTTGCGACAAGTCTCCCACATTCATTGTCCTGCCCCATTCTGTTCGCCTGGAGGCCTCCTCCAACCCTGTGGGCGAAAAGAGGAATCCCAGCGGGACGCCAACCCTGGGGCCCGTGGGCCCCGCGCCGCTTGGGCAGAAGACGAACGCCGGGTCTGACAGGCCAGCTATCGCCCCCCTTTGCCCGATATGCTGTGCCATTCTGTTCCCCCAGGGGCCTTGGCAAACTCTTCGGGCCAAGCAGACCGGACCCCTGGGACAGCAGCCAATTGATATGACCCTGGGACCTCTCCGCATTCTTCGGACGAGCATCTGGGGGGCCCAGGAGATTCGGACATGTCTTCCCCATTCCTTGCCCTGTCCCGTTCTGTTCGCCCGAAGGCCTCCACAGACCCTCTGGGCGAACAGAATGGGACATGGCGAACAAACCCTCCCGTTGGCGGTGATGCGACTGGATCGCACCATCAAGGCGCGCCCGGAGGTGATGGCCGACCCAACAGCGGTTTCTCTTAAGAGTTCACTGGATTTCAAATTTTCTTGAAGCTCTCTTGGGCCCTCCCTGTAGATCCTTGCGAGCCTCCCCGGCGCTTTCGGTGGCTTTCCCCGATGGCCTCCCGAGCCCTTCCCCGAGCGCTCCTGAGACGCCTCAGATGGGCTTCGACTTCGACGCACATCCCCGAGAGACTTCGAAACTGTCCTCAATAGGAGGGGGGTGAACGAGCAGTGCGCTGGGCCAAGCTGCTGCAGCGCTGCAAGAGCTCGGACACGAAGGCGCGGTCTCGCTGCCGCCGCCCGAGCCGCCGCCGTGTTTGTAGATTTTCGGTACAATCTGCGCCGTTCCTCCGAGAACCATTCCAGAAAGATGTCGTGGACGGAGTCCACGGGTCAGCCCTAGTCAGCTACAGCGCTGGGATCAGCGCGTGCGAGAAAGGCGAGCAGTGGCAGCGGGCCCTGGCGCTGTTGAGCGAGATGCGTGAGGCGAAGTTGGAGCCCAACGTCATCTCTCTCCAATGCCGGGAGCAGTGCGTGCGACAAGGGTTTCTGGACAGGGTGGCTTCGGGGCGGCCCCACGACGGCTCCGAGACGCCCCAGAGGCCGCCCCGACGGCCCACAGACAGTTCCGAACCGCTCGAGAGGGCGCCCCCACGACCCCAAGACGGCCCCGAGCCGCTCCAGAGGCCGCCCCGACGGCCCCAGGGGCACTCCGAGCCGGTCAAGAGGCAACTCCGACGGCCCCAAGGGCCCCCAGGGCAGGCCAAGAGCCCCCGAAGACGGCCCCGGAGAATCCCCTGGGACAACAGCCCAGAGACGCAAACATCGTGTAATTCTGGCGGGGAAATTGACATTTGTGGCATTCTCGTCCTTTTCGTCTACGACGCGTCCACGACGGCCAAAGAGCCCCCCAAAAACTCGTCCTAAGATGCCCCCCATCAGGGCCGCAAGACGGGCCCAGGACAGCCCAAGAGGCGCCCGAGACGGCCCAATAAACACCCAAGACAGCCCCAAACACGCCCAAGACGGCCCGAACACGGCCCATTAGGCGCCCAAGACGGCCCCAAGACGGTTTAGAAGGCACCCAAGACAGCCCTTAAGAGCTGCCTGAGGTGGCCCCGAGACGGCCCAAGAGGCGCCCAAGACGGCCCAAGACGGTTCCGAGACGGCCCAAACAGCACCGACGAGAGCCCAAGAGGACCCCAAGAACCCAACAGGCCCCCACACGGCCCGTAAGAGGCCCTAAGTGGCTACATAATTCCTTCCAACACAGGGGTGGCGGACGAGAGGTGACAAGCAGAACGCAGGCCCCAACAGCCGTTTTCGATGCTCAGAGGGTCTACGATTGGATCCAAGATCCAGGGCATGCAGGATCGAGGCAAGAAAGCGGAGGAGGAGGAGGAGGAGGAGGAGGAGGAGGAGGAGGAGGAGGAGGAGGAGGAGGAGGAGGAGGAGGGGAGGAGGGAGGAGGAGGAGGAGGAGGAGGAGGGAGGAGGAGGAGGAGGCGGAGGAGGAGGAGGAGGAGGAGGAGGAGGGAGGAGGAGGAAGGAGGAGGAGGAGGAGGAGAGGCAGAGGAGGAGGAGGAGGAGGAGGAGAGGAGGAGGAGGAGCAGGAGGAGGAGGAGCAGCGAGGAGGAGGAGGAGGAGGAGGAGGAGGGAGGAGGAGGCGGAGGGAGGAGGAGGAGGAGGAGGGAGGAGGAGGAGGAGGAGGAGAGAGAAGGAGGAGGAGGAGGAGGAGGAGGAGGAGGCCGAGGAGGAGGAGGAAGAGGAGGATGAGGAGGAGGGGAGGAGGGCAGGAGGAGGAGCAGGGGGGAGGAGCAGGGGAGGAGGAGGAGGAGGAGGAGGAGGAGGAGGAGGAGGAGCAGGAGGAGGAGGAGGAGGAGGAGGAGGATGGGGAGGAGGAGGAGGACAGGAGGAGCAGGAGGAGCAGGAGGAGGAGGATGAAGAGAGCCTCATGAGTGTCCAGAAGACGCACGGAGCTCTGAACGTGGCCGCAAGACGGCCCAAGAGGAACCCAGACGGCCCAAGAGGGATCCAGAAGGTCCAGAAGAGAGCCTCATGAGTGTCCAGATGACGCACGGAGCTCTGAACGTGGCCGCAAGACGGCCCAAGAGGAACCCAGACGGCCCAAGAGGGATCCAGAAGGTCCCGAAGAGGCATAAGAGGACCTGAGAGGGCTCCACCCCCCAAGAGGACCAACTCCCGAGAGAGTTTCGCCTTGAACAGGTCTCCAACAAAACGGCCACCCCAACGTAGCGGAGCACTTCCGACCCAACAGCGGTTTCTGTGAAGATCTCATTTAGTTCCACACCCTCTTGAAGCTCTCTTGGGCCCTCCCTGGAGATTCGTGTGAGCCTCCCCGGCGTTCCCAGTGGCTTTCCCCGATGGCCTTCCGAACCCTTCCCCGGGAGCTCTTGAGACTCTTCAGATGGGCTTCGACTTTGTTGCACATTCCCCAGAGACTTCAAAACTGCCCTCAATAGGAGCAGGGCGAACGAACCGTGCACAGGGGCCAGGCTGCTGGAGTGCTGCAAGAGCTCGGACACGAAGGCGCGGTCTCGCTGCCGCCGCCGTGCTCATAGGTTTTCGGCAAAATCTTCGACGTTCCTCCAAGAACCATGCCAGAAAAATGTCGTGGACGGAGTCCACGGGCCAGCCCTAGTCTATACTATATGGCCGGAGGAACCGCGTGCCGGAAGGAAAAAGGACCAAATGGCCAGAAACGGCTCCGAGACGCTCCGGAGGCCGTCCCGACGGCCCAAAGACGGCTCCGAGCCGCTCAAAGACGGCTCCGAGCCGCTCAAGATGCCCCGAAGGCGGCCCAAGAGGGCCCCGAGACGCGCAACGATCCGGCCAAGACGCCCAAGATTGGCCCAAGACGGCCCAAGAGCTCCCCAAGACGGCCCAATGGCCTCCCAATAGGCCTCCCAAGAGAGCCCCGAGAGGCCAAAATCGTTGATTGTCATTGGTTCTTCCTAGGTTTTTTGCTTCCTCGCTTTTTCGGCTTCCCGACGCTCCGAAACCCCCCCAGAGGCATCCAAGACCGCCTCAAGACGGTCGAAGAGGTCCCCAAGAGGACCCCAAGACGGTCCAAGGCGGCCCCAGGACGGCCCCAGAGGCGCCCAAGACAGGCCAACGGGACCCCAAGATGGGCCGAAGAGCGGCCCAAGATGGCTTCAAGACGGCCCGAGGACCGCCCAAGAAGGCCCCAGGGGGCCCCAAGACAGCCCAAGGGGCGCGATAGACGAGCCCAGAGAGGCCCAAGAGGCCCCCAGGAGCCCAAAAGAGGTCCCCAAGAGGTGCCACGGGGGCGGACGAGGGGACCGCCTCAGGAGGTTTTGGACGGTTTTGGGCGTCAAAATCATCAGCTTTACGACTGTTTTGGAAGGATGTTGGGCCTTCTCGCCTTTTCCGAATTCCGACGCTCGAAGACGGCCCAAGAAGCCTCCAAGAGCGCCCCAGAACGGCCCAAGAGGTTTCCAAGAGCGCCCCAAGACAGCCCAAGAGGGCCCGAAGACGACCCAAGAGACGCTCAAGACGGCCCACGAGGGCCCGAAGACAGGCCCAGGAGGGGGCCAAGAGGGGGACCACGGACCGAAAATCCGAGCATTCCGCCCCAAGAGGGCGCCAGGAGGCCCAAACAGGCACCCAAGAGGCCCCAAGGGGCCGCCAAGAATCCCCCAAAGAGGCCCCAGGAGGCTCCCAAGGAACCCAGACGAGGCCCCAACATAGGCCCCAACAGCTTCCAAAATGGCCCCAAAGAGGCCTCGAGCCCGCCTCCGAGCTTCCTCGCCGCGAGGGTGCCAACACGGCCCCAGACGGGCCCAGGACGGCCCAAGGCGCGCTCAAGACGGCCCAAGACGATTCCAAGACGGTCCCAGGAGGGTGCGCCCAGGACGGCCCAAGAACGCGCCCGGTCGGGGCCTCAAGACGGGCCAAGATGGCAAGAGAGCCCCAGCTTGCAAAAATCGTTAATTTTCGGCGGTCCGATGCACCAAGAGGCCCCAGAAAGTCCCAGGAGGGTCCGAGGAAACGCCCAGGAAGGCCCCAAGACGGGCCAAGACGGACCCAGCACAACCCAAGGCGCGCCGCGACGGCTCAAGACGGCTCCAACACAGCCCCAAGAGGGTGCCAACACGGCCCCTGCTTTGCCCAGGACGGCCCAAGGAGGCGCACAGGAGGGGCCCACGACGACTCCAAGGCGGCCCCCTCACGGTCCCTGACGGCTCCAAGACAGCCCCACGAGGACCCCGATGGGCCCAGGACGGCCTACGGACGGCCCATGAGGGGCCCACCACGAACCAAGACGGCCCCATCACGGCACACGGCGCCCTCAAGACGGGCCTGGACGGCTCCAAGACGGCCCTTTGAGGGAGCCAACGCGGCCCCACACCCTTCGGGCGCATACTTGGGGGGGCTGGGAGCTTGCGACAAGTCTCCCACATTCACTGTCCTGCCCCATTCTGTTCGCCTGGAGGCCTCCTCCAACCCTGTGGGCGAACAAGAGGAAACCCAGCGGGCCGCCAACCCTGGGGCCCGTGGGCCCCGCGCCGCTTGGGCAGAAGACGAACGCCGGGTCTGACAGGCCAGCTACCGCCCCCCTTTGCCCGATATGCTGTGCCATTCTGTTCCCCCAGGGGCCTTGGCGAACTTTTCGGGCCAAGCAGACCGGACCCCTGGGACAGCAGCCAATTGATATGACCCTGGGACCTCTCCGCATTCTTCGGACGAGCACCTGAGGGGGCCCAGGGGATTCGGACAAGTCTTCCCCATTCCTTGCCCTGTCCCGTTCTGTTCGCCCGAAGGCCTCCACAGACCCTCTGGGCGAACAGAATGGGACATGGCGAACAAACCCTCCCGTTGGCGGTGATGCGACTAGATCGCACCATCAAGGCGCGCCCGGAGGTGATGGCCGACCCAACAGCGGTTTCTCTAAAGATTTTACACAATTTCGAATTTTCTTGAAGCTCTCTTGTGCCCTCCCTGTAGATCCTTGCGAGCCTCCCCGGCGCTTTCGGTGGCGTTCCCCGATGGCCTCCCGAGCCCTTCCCCGAGCGCTCCTGAGACGCCTCAGATGGGCTTCGACTTCGACGCACATCCCCGAGAGACTTCGAAACTGTCCTCAATAGGAGGAGGGTGAACGAGCAGTGCGCTGGACCAAGCTGCTGGAGCGCTGCAAGAGCTCGGACACGAAGGCGCGGTTTCGCTGCCGCCGCCCGAGCCGCCGCCGTGTTTGTAGATTTTCGGTACAATCTGCGCCGTTCCTCCGAGAACCATTCCAGAAAGATGTCGTGGACGGAGTCCACGGGTCAGCCCTAGTCAGCTACAGCGCAGGGATCAGCGCGTGCGAGAAGGGCGAGCAGTGGCAGCGGGCCTTGTTGCTGCTGAGCGAGATGCGGGAGGCGAAGCTGGAGCCCAACGTCATTTGTATTACACTACCAGGCACAGCGCGTGCCAGATGGGTCTATGAATTGCTCCGCTGGGCCAGCGGCGGCGGCGCCTCCGCGGCCCCACTCGTAGAGCGACGCCGTCCTGGCCCAGGAGAGCCCCGCAGGTGCCCCGACGGGCCCCCCGAGCGCTCCTCTGCAGCGCAAGAGGGCCTCAGACGGCCCACGAAGGCCCCGACCAGGTTCCGCCAGGCTCCCATGTGGCCTCCGAGAGCGCCGCGAAGACGAAGTCTATCGATATCCTCGAGGTTTCATCAGACTTCCTCTTACGATCGCTTCTCTGGTCAGAAAGAGACGCCCCACCCTCCCCGAGAAACCTCCCAAATCGGCTGGAGGGCGCCCAGAGAACTTCCAGGAGAGCCCCTACGACGGCCCTGGAGAACCTTAAGACGGCTCCGGGGACTCCCAAGACGGCCGAGCAGCCCCCCAAAAACGGCCCAAGGGAGGCCCAACAGTGCCAACTCTGGAGCGCTCCCCCCCCGAATCCCGCTCCCCTCCACGGCCAGCAAGCCCCCTAAGAAGCTACCTAGAGTCAGGCTCCCAGACGGCTTTCGGGTACTCCCCGGATGCTTCTGGAAGGCCTCCAGCACGATTCCGACATGCTCCCAGAAGACCCCAATTGCCAGGAAAGAAACACCCCACAGGTTGCCGGAAAGCCACCAGCAGCTCCCTCCAGACGGCTGCGATGGAGGAGGAGGAGGAGGAGGAGGAGGAGGAGGAGGAGGAGGAGGAGGAGGGGGAGGAGGAGGGGGAGGAGGAAAAGGGGGAGGAGGAAAACGGGGAGGAGGAGGAGGAGGAGGAGGAGGAGGAGGAGATGATGATGTTGGTAAGAAACACCCCACACCTCTTGGGAGGCCTCTTGCGCGGGAGGGTTGCAGAAAACAACTGCCGGCTCCAGCCGCGGACGCCCAGGAGCGCTGCTTCTGCGGCCCCTCCCCAAGCCGAGCGCTCCCCAAGGGGTGTGGGGCGCAGCTCGTGCCCAAACATCTTGGTGCTCCTCCTTCTTCTCCCCGTCGTCGCTCTCCCCATGCGATCCTGGCGGCTCAATCTTGTTCGAGCCGGGCGTTTCCGCTCCATCTGCCGGGCCCTGGGACCCTCAGCTCGATCCGGCTCGAAAGATGGCGCAGCAAGATGGGGTCTGGGGGTCCGGGAGTGATTTGTTGCGATGTTGCATGTTTGTTCGCGACGTCGGATCTCAGGGTCCTCCGCCACCGGATCTCCTGCCGTTGCTGCTGGAGCTGCTGCCGCTGCTGCTGGCGCCGCACTGCTGCTGCTGCTGCTACCGGAGCTGCTGCTGCTGCTGCTGCCACTGCCCGTGCCCCTGGATCTGCTGCCGCTGATGCTGCTAGCGCTGCTCCAGGCGCCGTCAGAATCATCGAGCAAACAGCGCACTCGAAAGCGATGAGCAGCAGCAAGCACACTCTGACCACTGGCATTCGTGGACAGCAGTCGACTGGTCAGCCCGAGCCATCTCTCCTTTAACGCCGCGTCAGCTACAACGCTGGGATCAGCGCGTGCGAGAAGGGCGAGCAGTGGCAGCGGGCCTTCTTGCTGCTCAGCGAGATGTGTAAGGCCAAAGTGGAGCCCGACGTCATCAGCTACGGCGCTGGGATCCTTGCATGCGAGAAAGGAAGACAGTGGCAGCAGGGCATGTCGCTGCTCCGCGAGATGTGGAAGGCGAAGTTGGGGACCCAGGTAATCAGTTACAATGCTGGGATCGATGCTGTGCCAGCACACTACGCGGCCATCCGTGCGTGCGAGGTGTGCGGTCAGTGGGCAAAGGCATTGGACCTGCTCGACTCGATGCTAGGAGCCCGCGTGGACCCTACCGCTGCCAATAACCCAGACGCTGGCCGATACTTGCACGTCTTCCAGGCAGGTGGCCCCATGGACGTCTTCAAGCACGTCGTTCTCGTGGCGCTGCTGCAGCAGATGACGGCGGTCGCAGATCCATTCACCTTCGTTGACGCGCATGCTGGTGCTGGGGTCTACGACCTGAGTTCCGAGGAGTCGCTCCGATACCGGAGGTTTGAGGAGGGCGTGCTCCGGCTGTCGCACGCTGCCGACCGTTCTGGCATCGGTCTGGTTGCAGACTACCTGGACGCGGTGTGGAGGTGCAACCATGCCTTGGGCGCCTCTCCGTGCGCTCTGAGCCTCTACCCGGGGTCGCCCGCGCTGGCGTGCCACTGGCTGAGGCCACAGGACTCCGCCGTGTTCTTCGAGGCCGCCGCCGATGCCTACGAGTGCCTCAGGCGCAGTGTTGCCCTGCTGGGTCGGGACGCGGGTCGCCGCCTCGCGCTGCTGCGGGACGACTCCTATCTGCGGCTCGCCCTTGGGCCCCCGCCCTGGCCCGGCGGGCGGCAGCTGGTCCTGATCGACCCGCCATACGACTCCGTCCAGTCCCACGCGACGTGGAATGTGTACGTCGTCAGGCGCCTGCTGCAGAGGTCGCCCTCCGCGTGCGTGGCTCTGTGGTACCCGCTGGTGGACGAGGAGCAGGTCGCGAGCCTGCACGGCCAGGTGCGGAGCATCACCGCGTGCAGCGTGCTGGTGGCCGAGATGCGGCTCGAGCGTGGGCTCTCGCGCGGGGCGGCCCTGCAGGGATCGGGGATGCTGGTCGTGAACCCGCCCCCCGCCGTCCACGCGCAGCTTCTTGCCACGCTGCCTGGACTCGGCGGGGCGCTGCGGGCCCCCGACTACCGCGTGTTGTGGCTGTGAGGCCTCGCTGCCGGTCAGGCTCTGAAGGCCTCGTTGTCGCCCCGTGCACGATGTATTTCGCCCTGCTCTGCGCTCAGCACCACTGAACCCCCTCCCCCAGCTAGACGAACAGTAAGATGTGAGAGGCGAAGTTCGATCCCGTCGTCACCTTTTCTACCATGAGGGAAACCTTGCGTGCCAGAAAGGCTTGTGCACCGAAGGGTTCTTCGAGCCCCTCCACGGGCCCGAAGGGCACGGGGGGAGGGAGAAATTCAGCCTCGCGCTGAGATCTGGCGACTGTCGTCATTTCTGCCCATTCCGCCCCTTCGCTCTCTCCCCGCCTCCTCGTCTTGTTTCTCCTCGCGTGCTTGCGACAGATGGGTATCTTTCCGCTCATCCGCGACGCTCCGTAGCCCTACAGTGATTTGGGACTTAGCGTTCCCCGCTTGTTTGCCGCGGTCTGAAGCACGATTGTACAGTGGAAGCCCATGCCAAGAAACACCCTGCTTGCCTCTTGGGTGCCCTAGGTTTCGTGGGTGTTGATGTTTATGCTATGGAGCACGTGACGTTCACACAAACAAACACACACACACCAACAACAACAACAACAACAACAACAAAACATGTACGTCCTGGAGTTCCACGGTTTGATTTCTTGTGGAAGGTTTCTTGTGGTCGGATCCCCTCCTGTATTAATGATCGGCCAGACCAGATGGGCTGCACAGAACGTCTTGTCACTTCGACCCCGGCGTCGTTTCCTCGCCCCCGTTTGCCAGTCCTCCTTGGGCCTTCGCATTCCCCGGACACGTTCGTGTCGGCTGCCGCTGTTCTTTGGGCACGCCGCGTGCATGTCCAGCGGACGTTGGCGACGAGCTGTTGGTGGCGTGCCTGTGGAGAAGAAGCACGAACCCTCGACCCCCCACATCCCGGGGAACCTGTGTGTCAAGTCTTCTGGCGCAAGACATTCTGGCTTAAGATATTATGTGCAATGCATCCGCGCAGCCTGAGTGTTGTATTGTTGCCGCAGTTCTCTCCTTTTGGTGCATTAGAGCGTCAATTTGCGGAATGTGGGCGCCTATGATCACCAAGGTGGGCGTGGGCCTTGTTGGGGTTGTTATTGTGCGATGCTTTGGTAGCCGCGGAGCATGTCCCGACAATGAATTTCAAGGACACGAATACAATTAAGGACATGCGGAACGACTTCTGCGGTCCAGAGGCGCGCTTGTACAAAGGGACCTTGAAACTTAGGGATGCCTTAAAGGGCAGGCATACTGACATGGTCACTATACGGGACAGTCTCCCGTGGTACGGCGAGCCGGAGAACAACACAGACCCAACGCGAACTCAAGGTTTCATTAAAAAATAGCCGACAAGATGGCAAGTCAGGGGGGTTCACCTACACATTGTACTCAGTCTCGACGTCAGCTTACACTGACATGAGTGCTTCGGAGTTCCTCGCCAGCAGCTTGGAGAAGTTTGACGTGAACCTCGGTACTTGGGCCGACATCTCGGACCGGGCGTCTAGTGGCGTTCGAACGCCATACGGTTTCTTAGACTTGAGCATCATCCCCGTTACGTACGGCACCGTTCGTAGCCCGAGTTTCTGGGAGAAGTTCAAGGCTTTCAGCATTCCGCTGGAAGGACCTCTTTGGGGCCTCTTCTTCGTCATCGCGTTCTTGACATCCATTGCCTACTTCTTCCTGGAGGGGGACGAATCGGGCGATGAGTGGCATGCAGAGGATCCGGATGGATACAAGATTGAGCAGAGCATCGTGATGGGCTTGTCAACCCTGGCGCAGGCTGGGACTTTCACTCCGCGTACGATCGCGGGGAAGGTCTTGATGTTGACCTTCGCATTATTCGTCATGATTCTCTTGGCTGCGTACACAGCCAATCTCGCGGCAGTACTAGTGGCAGCGGATGAGGTCAGCGCGTGCGAAACTTTAGAACAGTGCACGCAGGGGAGAAATATGTTGTGCGTAACTGAAGGCATCCACGTGGATCACCTGAAGGAAACTCACAATAAGCTGTACACGCACAACATGTTAGTGGCTCGCGACGACGCCGTCAAAATGAACAACTTACTTGATGGCAAGTGTGCTGCTGCCCTTTGTGAGGTTGACGAATACCGTCTGGCCAAGGAAGACGAGCAGCTAAACCCTGGCTGCACGTTGCCATCGGTCGGCGAATTTCCTCTGGCGACTTTCAAAGGTGGCTGGATGGTTAAGAGTAACGATGCGACCGAAAAGTGCACTGCACTTCTAAGGGATGCCCTCGCCGATCTTTTCCTCGAGCTGGAAGAAGACGGTCAGATCGTGGACATGATAGTAAAATTATACGGAGAGTCCATGGTGCAAGGATGCGACGAGAATGGCAATCCAGACTTTGAGTTTTCTGAGACGGACAGTTTCCCGATCGAGAGCATGCTTGGGCCTGGTTTTATCCACTTCTTTGGCGTCATCGTCGCGTTTATATTCTATTTCTGCCGCAAAGCAGAGAATTTAGGGAACCCTGTGGCGAATCAGATCCCCAATGACGCGTGCAGTGATCTTCGCCTGCTGAACGGCGTGGACGCCCGTGGCATTAGCTCGCTGAAAACCCAGCCCGGTGCTTTAAACGCAAAGCTGAACCACTTGTTCGAGAAGCTCGGCTAATCGATGCCCTCCAAGATCGCCCACAAGAACCTGTTAGGGGTTCTTGCTAATTCTCAAACCGTGTTATTTTCCTTGCCTTAGATGGCTGAGTGGCGCTTCGTCGGAGGGGAGTCCCTTCGTTTGGCGTCCCGGGGCCGGCAACCTCAGACCGAGGCCGCCCCGACTGCTGTGACGCCAGATCCAAGACCGTCCGAAGTCGCCCGCACACCTCCACGTCGCTGCGCCGCTCGTTCCGACGCGCGGCCGTACGTTTCAGTCGGGCCTGTCCCTCTGCAGGGGGAATGTTCAAAAGTAGTCCAAAAATAGTTTGGGGACGATTTGTTTTCAACATTCTTGATCACGTTTTGTTTTTTGGGGGGGTATTTTTTAATTTTCGTCCCGAATCCGCCTGCAGGGGGACACGCCCGACCTAACCGCACGCCTTGGTTGACGGCGCCGCGGGCACGCGGGCGAACGCCGCCGCGCCGCGCGGTGGGCTGGCCTGTGGGGCTGGCCGCGGCGTCGGCCTCGTCTGCCTGGGGCGCCGGGCGCGGGGCGTGCCGTGGGCGTGCCGTGGTATCGGCGGCGTCCGCCTCGAGCGCGCCTCGAGCACCTGGGCCTCCAGGGACCGGGGGGGCCCCTGGAGGCCCTCCCGGCATCCCGGTGGGCATAGGCTGTCCTCGAAAGGCCTCGGGAGGTCCAAATCGACGCCGTGGGCCCCTTGAGCAACGCAAAAGCATCAAGCCAGTTCAACGGGCAAAACCTCGATCCTCGATCCTCGGCGCCGGGGCGCCCCCCCCGAGCGCCTGGGAGGAGGCCCAAGATCGGAAACTGGAGCATGTACACTACCAGTGGCGGGTTGTTTTCTTAATCCCACGACTTTTTGAGGGTCGGGGACGACGTCGGGGTGGTGTGGTGTATACTTGTCCCCCGTCTCCCCAGGGAAACAACGAAAAATGTGTACACCAGGATCCCGTATACGCCAGGATTCGCGTTCCTGTGCGAATTTCCCCCCCGTGTCGGCAAAAGCGTCGGTGTATAGAGGTCGTTTCCCTTACAACAGGCCCCCCTCGGAGGCAAGAGACATCCAAGGCCTCGGAGCTCGTCGACCCAGGCTTAAGTCGGGCCTGTCGCTCTACAGGAGGAAAATTCAAAAATAGTCCAAACATCGCCGGGGGGCGATTTTCCCAGCATGTTCTGGCTGTTTTTGTATATATGTTTGGAAGATGTTTTATTTTTCGTCCAAAATCCGCCTGTAGATGACATGCCCGACCTAACCCAGGCCTCCCAAATGGAGTCCGAGTGGATGGGGCCGAGGGATCGCGCCGCATGGCCAGCGCCTCGGCTGTGCGGCTCGATGTGGAGCCAGATTTTCTCTTCGCGCCAACGTTGCCGATGCATCGCCGACGTCGGCGATGAATCGGCGCTACACCTGCGATGCGTCGGCGATGCGGCGCGACCTTCCGACACCATCCACTCGGACCACGTGTGGGAGGCCTCTTCCAGGGGCCCTCAGGAGGCCAAAGGCATCCGAGGCCTCGGACCCAGACGTCATGATCTTTCCATGACGTCGACCCCTGAAGGTCTGGACCGGTTCCCCGGGACCGGTTTCTCATCCCGAGTCGCTTTTTGACGGTCCCGAGGCCCAGCGAGGGCCCCCAGAGGCCGAAAACATGGAAAAACCTTCCGTCGTGATTTTCTCGTGGCTCGAGGGGGTCTGGGGCCTCGGATCTCGTCGGGCCTCGCCCCTCTGTGGCCCGGCGTCACCCCCCCTTCCCCGAGGCCGGCACGGGCGCCAGCGAGGAGCCCGCGTCCTCGCGGGCCTCGCACGAGGAGCTGGTGGCGCTGCTGCGGCAGCAGGCCGAGGAGGCCCACGAGAGCAACAGCGTGCTGGTGGCGGCCATGAAGGCCCCCGCGGTGGCTGAGCGAGGCTCGAGGCTCGAGGATCGAGCCTCGAGGGCCGAGGCCTCGAGGACCCCGTGGGCCATCAAGGGCCCCCTGGGGCGAGGTTCGAGGTTCGAGGATCGGGGTTCAATGATCGAGGCTCGAGGCTCGAGGATCGATGCTCGAAGAGCGAGGCTCTTACGCGCTGCTCCCCTTCCCTGGGCATCCGGGTGTGTCCTCGTCGCCACGACCCGATTCGCTTCGAAAGTTTGCCGAATACGCAACCCTGGATGGGCTCTGGGGCTGGCATTTGAAATTCCGAGCCCAGACCCCCTCGCGTCGTGAAAAAAGAGTGCCGACAGTTTGTGTCCTCGAGAGGGGCCTTACAAGACCCAGAGACCGTTAGAAGCTTTTCAGGATGACAACCAGTCCCAGGGAACGGATCGGGATTTGGGGGGACAGTCTTGTCAAAGATATCTGGTGCTGGAGGGGGGGGAAGGCCAGACGAAAGGAGGAACGGGCGAAGGTGGGTTGCGAAATCTGCTATACGCAGGCGGTTTCCGCCCAGCCAGTAGGCACATTCCTCGATACACGGTCGCCACCAGAAATACGCTACGATACCATACGACCACCGTTACGGACATCTTCCGGGCCTACCTAAGACCTAAGACCAGGTGGGCACGGCCTTGGCCTCAGAAGTCTGGCGTGTCTGGACAACGTGCAATCCAAGACACATGTGTAAACAAGGTATGAAGGGGAGGGAGGGGGGGAGGAAGGTCCCCGAGGCAAAGGAAGCGGTAAAACCAGTTGCCTCCAGCGCCTCCGGGCATAGGTAAAACCAGCTGCACGCAGTTGGCCTGATCGCCCCCGTCTTTGCTCAGCGCTGCTTCCGTCGAGCCCGCCAGGACGAGTCCGCCCGTCCCTGCTATCCATCACTCCTGCCTGTCGCACCACCAGACTTGTCAGCAAAGCGATCGCCGGGCTTTTGGCTTCAGGGTTGCTCACAAGTTGTGGACCCAGAGCTCGAAATGATCAACAGATTTACCGATAAAGGGCGAATCGTTTTTGACATGTGGTCTACGGCTTCGGCGAATTGTAGATTCGTTTGCAAAGCGTCAGCAGGCTCCCACGATAGAAAGCGGTTGTCTTTCAAAATGCGGTCCACGCCTCAGCGTCGCGCAAACATACAGATCTCGCATTTAGCGCCGCGCATATTTGTTTCTCACCGTTTCAAAGTGGTGCACGAATCGGGGCCAGATCGTTTTTTGAAAATGCGGTTCTCGTCTTCATCGCCACGCGCACTCGCTTTGAACGGATGAAGAGCGGCTCGTTTTCATCATGGGGCTCTCGCATGGGACGTTCTCGAATTCTTGACGCTTCGCATTTTGGAGCCCTTTGGACCCTCGTTGGAGCAATCGATCAAAGAATGGGGGTATGAAATTCAAGTCGGGCATGCCCCTCTACAGGAAGAAGATTCTAGAACAGGAACAATTAGTATGGTGACGATTTCCCGTGCTCGTTGGACTATTTTTGACGGTTGTTGGTTATTGACTAGTTTCTAAAACCAGCCTGGAGGAGGACGTGCCCGACCTGATACCAAATGTGGGCCCCCCCCCTCGGAGGCAGACACCTTGCCTCGTGGCGTACTCTTGGGGCGCTCTTGGGCGCGGGGCCGTCTTGGGCCCGTGAGGCTCTCTTGGGCCGCCCCTGAGCCATCTTGGTGCCACACGAGCCTATCGGAGGCGAAACGACAGGAAGACAAGCCACGTTGCCGCCTCGTGTGCGCCTCGTGGGCGCCCCGCGCTTGGAATGCTGGCCACGTTGCCGCCGGTGTCGCCTCGTGGGCGTCTCTTCGGCGCCCCGCGCTCTGGGGGTGGGCCGCCCGTGGCGCCTCGTGGGCGAGTCGTGGACGCCCCGTGCTCAGAGCTTACACCGCACGGCTGGCACCACATAGCTGACACCGCAGAATGTACACACCGCAGCATACACCACGCAGCGTGCACCCCCATCTCTCCCACCTCCCGCGCACACCGTATAGCTTACACCAGAGCAGCTTGCGGCGGACAGCTTGCACCGCATAGCTCCCACATCCACAGCTCACACCGCATAGCTGGCACGACACGGTTCTCACCACGTAGCTTGCACCGCGTAGCTTGCAGCACGATGGCTATGGTGTGTTCGCTAGGTTTGGTAAAGATCGTGGCCTCTCAGGGGGATCATTGGGAGGCCCCGTGGTCACTTGGGACCGTCTTGGGGCGGTCTTTGGTTATCTTTGTGCATGTTAGGGGCTATCTAGAGCAGCACTGGGCTGTATTGTGCGATATTGGAGGCCATCTTGGGCTAACTGGAGCCCTCTTGGGCCGTCTTGGGCAATTTTAGACGTTTGGACAGCTCGTAAAGCCCCGTTGACATGCAGGGGGAGAGGTGAACCTCTCCCAGATGTGGAAGAGGAGCTGGGACACAACTTACTCGCTAAACCACCTTCGCCCAGAGGGACGGTTGGATCGTCTGACTAAAAAGTGGTAAAACTATGGAACAGTTGCGCGTACTGAGGGCAATGTGTTTCAAGGCGTGTTCTTGATTGAGACTTCCCTGTTTCAAAACAGACTTGTAACACATGTGTCACCGTGCCACAGGAGGGCGTTTTTTTTTTTTGTCAAATTGGAGCTATCGCTGGACACTTCCATGAGTTGTAGGATGAGACCTTCTCGAAGTACTTACTGCTTGAAGGACAGAGGCTGGTTCCGTTTCGCAACGGGCCGCCCGCCCGACTTGCAGGCCCAAGAGGCGCCCGTCATGCACGGGGGTATGGACTTATTTTGATGAGGGGGGCCTGTGGCGGGAGGGCACGCTGCGGCATCGCTGATGCATCTTATGGGTGTGCTCTGGTCCTCCTTCCCGCTCGTGCTCCTCCCCCTCTGCAGGAAAGCGTCCCGGACGTATCCCCGGGCGCGGGCCGGCAGGGGTGCAGTCGGGACTCCAGCCGTGGCGACGGGGGGCCCCCCAGAGCCCCAGTGAGGCTGACTCGTGCTCGGCAGCCTCGAGCTCTGATCCTCGACCACCTCCACGGCAAGCCCAAAAAAGGACCGAAGGCGCGAGACACTCCCAGGACCTCGATGGTCGAGCCTCGGGCAGGAAGAGCAGGGCAATATAAGAAGCCCAGGAGGCAGCAGACATGCCGCAAGAGTGCGACATCCTGGCCCAAGTACCGCAAGTGCAAGTGCCACGAGCATTCTCTCGCACTGCGAGAAGACCCCCCTCGAGAGACGAGGGCCCCATGGGCATACCAGCCAAGCGAGCGGACAGAACGACGAGCACGACGACGACTTCGCGCACGACGACGACGATGAAGAACGAGGTGCGAACGTTAGGCTGCAGGATCCTAAGCAGGGAGGAAATGGCAGGGGAAACGCCTGGCCCGCCCTCCAGACACGTCTCGGGGTGTGACAGGGAGAAGTTATTTGGCAGGAAAAGGGATGGAGGAGGAGGAGGAGCAGTTGGAGGAGGAGGAGGAGGACGACGACGACGACGGCGACGACGACGACGACGACGACGGCGACACGGGGCGGCCAGCCGCGACCGCGGACCGAAGGCGCAGCAGGAGCAGTACCAGAGGGTGTTCGACGAGATGCAGAAGGTGCGCCGCAAAGGGCGGACAAGCAGCCCCGCGTCGTCATCGGAGGGGGGAGGGGGAGTGAGGCGGATGAGCAGCAGCAGCAGCAGCAGCAGCAGGGAGAAGGAGCAGGAGGTAGGAGGACGAGGAGGGCGTTCGTCAGGCAGTCCCTTGTCGGCCTTCGGAGCGCAGCCATGTTAGCGCATGCTCGAACGAGGGAGAGGGGGAGGGGCAGGAGGTCGAGGGGGAGGACGAAGGGGAGGAGGGGGGGGACGAGGAGGAGGACCAGTGTAAACCCGAGACGCATCAACGATGTGACAATAATAAGCCCTCCCTCAAAATTCCCTCTTCACAGGTCCCTACGAGAATTGATTGACACTGTTGGAAGTGGCCCGTTGGAAGATAACCGTCTGAGAACTCTCACTCGTGCCAAAACATTACTCGTGGGAATTGAAGCCCGCGAAACAAGAATACTTTTGCGTCGTGACTACCCTGGATCGTGCCAGAACACCGTTATTGTGACGTCAAGCACCGCGAATCAACGTGACCGTTGCGCCCGGACAGTCCTAAATCGTGCCAGAACATCGTTATTGGGACGTCACCCTAAGAATCCGTTACATCGCTGTAAATGATTAAGCGAATGTGCGCGGCGCTAGAGCGACACCCACATGTTGAAAAAAGAGCCGTCCGCCATCTGGGATGCTCTTGCAGGTTTTTAAGACGAATGTGCGCGGCGCGAATGCGGGAGCCACGTTTTGAACACCGCTCGCCCTCCATCCGTAAAGCTCCTGCCAACCTATCAGACGAATGCGCGCGGCGCTAAGGCGAGAGCCACATGTTCAAAACGACCCGCCCTTCATCCATGAAACCCTTGCATGTTTTTTGAGAACAATGTGCACGGCGCTGAGGCGACAGCCACATATTGACAACCACCCGCCCTCCACCCGTTAAGTTCCTACAATGTTTAAGACGCGTTAGGTCGAGAGCCACATGTTCATAACCACCTGCCCTCCATCCGTGCTGCTCTTGCAAACTCTTACGAAGAATGCGCGCGGCGCTGAGGCGACAGCCACACTTGGAAAGCGGCCCGCCCTGCATCCGTGCTGTTGCTTGCACGTGGGCGGCGCTAAGGCGAGAGCATCGTTTGGAAAACGACCCGCCCTCCATCCGTGAAGCTCGTGCAGTCGAATGTGCGCGGCGCTGAGGCGAGAGCCACCCGTTCAGACACGTCTCGGAGTGCGACAGGGAGAAGTTATTTGGCAGGAAAAGGGATGGAGGAGAAGGAGGAGGAGGAGGAGGGCGACGACGACGATAACGAACAAGGTGCTGAACATGCACGCACAGCAGCAGAAGCCGCCGAAGACCGCCCCCGTGGACCTTTCCGCCTCCACAATCCAGTCGCTCGCCGCGCTCATGACGCAGCCCTCGGCGGCAGCTGCGGTCGCACCCGTGCCGGCTGCGGCTGCCGCCGAAATGGTGGGAAGAGGGGGGCAGACGAGGACGAGCAGGAGGAGGAGGGAGGGAGGGAGAGGGAGGGAGGGAGAGGGAGGGGGGAGGGCAGGGAGGAGGGAGGGAGGGGGGACGGAGGAGGAGAGGAGGAGGGGGGGCAGGAGGAGGAGGAGAGGAGGAGAAGGAGGAGGAGGAGGAGAGGAGGAGGAAGAGGAGGAGGAGGAGGAGGAGGAGGCGAGGAGGAGGAGGAGGAGGAGGAGGAGGAGGAGGAGAGAGGAGGAGGAGGAGGGGGAGGGGAGAGGGAGGGGAGGGGAGGGGAGGGGGAGGGGGGAGGGGGAGGGGAGGGAGGGAGGGAGGGAGGGAGGAGGAGGAGGAGGAGGAGGAGGAGGAGGAGGAGGAGGGGGGGGGGGGAGGAGGAGGAGGAGGAGGAGGAGGAGGAGGAGGAGGAGGAGGAGGAGGAGGAGGAGGAGGAGGAGGAGGAGGAGGAGGAGGAGGAGGAGGGGAGGAGGAGGGAGGAGGAGGAGGGGGAGGGAGGAGGGAGGGAGGAGGAGGAGGAGGAGGGGAGGGAGGAGGGAGGAGGGAGGAGGAGGAGGGAGAGGAGGGAGGAGGAGGGAGGAGGGAGGAGGGAGGAGGAGGACGAGGAGGAGGAGGAGAGGAGGAGTAGGAGGAGGAGGGAGGAGGAGGAGGAGAGGAAGAAGAAGAATAAGAAAAGAAGAAGAAGCAGAAGAAGAAGGAGGAAGAGGAAGAGGAGGAGGAGGAGAAGGAGGAGGAGGAGGGATGGTATTTGGAATATAAGAACGGGGGGCAGTGAAAGCAGGGCTACGAGAGGGGGGGGAACACAAGGAGGTGGAGGAGAAGGGGACGACGACGACGACGACGACGACGACGACGACGACGACGACGACGACGACGACGACGACGACGACTGGGGGGAGAGGGAGGGGGAGCAAGGAGAGTGAGGTGGAGATGGTGCAAATCAGCGGGGGGCAGAGGGGAAGAGATGGAGAGAACGGGAGACGCAGAAGGCGGAGGAGGAGGTGGAGGAAGAACGGAAGAAGGGAGAGGGGGAGAAGTCATGTTAGGTGCGCTCGAGTTATACCTGACATCCTACACTTCCCACCCATCCCTTCCCATTGCACTGATGTTTCTCTATCCGCCAACGGGTGTCACAGCGGAACTGGAACCTCTTAAAGGACCCTGCCATGCGTTGCGCATTCAGAGCAGGGAAGCTGTTCACTCAGAGCAGGGAAGTTGTTCACATTGAGCGAAAGGATTGGCAGGAGGACAGCGAAAGGAACGAGGAGGACGAGGAGCATCAGCATCAGCGTAGGAGGAGCGGGGGGGAGGAGGAGGACCAGGGGAAGGCGGAGGAGAGGAAGGTAGCGGGGCGACAACGACAAAGAAGGGTTCGGATCCAGAATTGTGGCCCGCGATTGGGGCGAGAGCGCCACTCAGATTGACGGGGGCAAAGCGTCGATCCTGGGTGAAGCCAACGATGCAGCAGGCGCGCCAGAGCAACACCGAAGACGCTCGGATTGCGAGCGTCCATCCATCGAATGGCATTCGGCCCATCCCGCCACCGTGCCTGGGCGATGGGTATGAAGCGTATTGGATGTTCGGTGGGGATCTCGTGGGAGGTCTCTCGGGGGCCTCTTGGAGGCAGTTTGGGGACCTCTTTTGGGGCCTCGTGGGGCCTTCTCGTGGCCCTCCTGGGGGCCTCTTGGGGGCCTCTCGGGGCCTCCTGGACGCATCTTGGGGCCTCCTGGGGGCCTCTTGGGACGGAATGCTCGGATGTTCGGCTCGTGTTCCCTCTCTGGGGCCCCCCCTTTGGGGGCCGTCCTGGGGCCCTCTTGGACCGTCTTGGGCGTTTCTTGAGAGTCCTGGGGCGCTCTTCGGCCGTCTTTGGGCCCTTTGGGAGGCCTCTTGGGCCCTTTTGGGGTGGTCTTGTGGGCCTCTTGGGCCATCTTTCAGCTTCGGAAAGCAGAGAACACCCAAATCCTTGAAACACTTAAACTGATATATGAGTCTTGCTTCTTGGGGGCCCTCTTGGGAGGCATCTTGGAGACCCCCTGGGGCGTCTTCGAGGCCTCTCGGGCCGCCTGGGGGATATCTTGAGCGTCTTGGGCCCATCTTTCGGCGGCTCGGAGCCCTCGTGGGCCGCTTTTTCGGGGCCTCTTGGGACCCTTTTGGCCCGTCCTGGGGCCCGCTGGGGCCCAAGACATTCACGCGCCACCGCTTCCCAACGCTCAGAGGCTCGGCATCGCTCGGACGTGTGTATGTTTTTCTCGGCGAGGACCCTTGAGGAACATCCTCGATCATTTGGCGAAAAAACCACGCACGAAACCGAAACAATCACAGGGAATGGACGTCCGAGCGATGGCCAGGATGGGGGGCACGCGAGAGAAGTCCCAGGGGGGCACGCGCGCAGCCCCGCCAACGCTTGGAATTGTTGGTGCCCGGGCCCCCTCGAAGACTCCTTGGGGTTCCCCTTATTTTTTCGGGATTCCTTGGGTTCCCAAGATCCCCCAGGGATTCCTAGGATTCCTTGATTCCGTAGGATTCCCAGGATTCTCTAGGGAGTCCTAGGATTCCCGAGGGATTCCCTCAGATTCCCTACTATTAGGAAGAAGGACTTGAGGCCACACCCGCTCTTTGCCCAGGGGCACGGTGGCGGATAGATTCATGCACGAACCTGTACTGAATCTTACACGCGAAAAAAAAAAACGCATGCGGCAGAAAACGGGCGACGTTTGGACAGGACCTGGGAAGAGAGGGGAGTAGTACTAATAATTCTGAGTAGTTGCAGAGGGCTAGGGGGAGAGGAGAAGGAGGAGGGGAATGAGCGAGGAGGCCTCAGCATGAGGGGGAGGAGAAGGGGGACGACGACGACGGCGGCGGCGGCGGTGGCGACGACGACGACAACGACCAAGTCGACCGGCGACGACGACGACGAGACGTGGACGAAGACGACGAGGAAAGGGAAGAGCAGGAGGACAAGGAGAATAAAAGGGAGGGGGAGGAGCGATACTCTGAGTCACATGAGCGTGGCTGCTTCCCGCAGAAGGAGCCACACGCTTAGCCATCCGCGCGTGGCAAGCCGTATGCGGAGGGCGAGAAAGAGGAGGAGGAGGAGGAGGAGGAGGAGGAGGAGGAGGCGGAGGAGGAGGAGGAGGAGGAGGTGAGGTTTGCTTTTGCCCCGGATCCTGACCCCTGGAGGTCCCCGGAGGTCCGGAAAGGCCCGAAAACGTGCAAGAAATGCCCGAAGACGTTCGAAATCCCGATTCGATGCCCTAGGAGGACCGAGGGCAAAATTCAGGAGGAGGACGAGGAGGAGGAGGACGAGGAGGAGGAGGAGGACGAGGAGCAGGAGCGAGACGACAAGGACCACCACCGCTACCACCACAATGGCGTCGATGACCGACGGCAGTACGACGACGACGACGACGACGACGACGACGACGACGACGACGACGGAGGGGGAGGGCCAGGAAGAAGAGAAGGCGGAGGAAGAGAAGGAGGAAGAGGAGGAGGAAGAGGAGGAGGAGGAAGAGGAGGAGGAGGAGGAGGAGGACGGTGGGAAAGAGCAGAGGGGGGAGGGGGAGAAGGGGAGCTCGGAGCAAGAGCCCATGGCCCATGGGCACGGAGGAGATGGAGGGAGGCACCGGCTGCTGGCGGCGCCAGCATGGCGGCGCCCGCCGCCGCCGCCGCTGGACCCAGCAACGCCTTGCGGGACAGCTTCGAGGGCATCAACCAGAGCCTCCAGCGCCTGGTGCGCGAGAGCGCCTCGAAGGCCTTCGAGCAAGGGGTGCAGCTCTTGCTTCTCCTCCATGTCCTCTTGTTGGGGCCTTCGGGGGCCCCCAGGAACCTCCGTGGGGTCTCGGGGACCTTCTGGGGCCTCCCGAAATGTCCGACAGGGGGAGGGGAGCAGGAAAAGAGGTTTGAAGATTTTTTGTTTTTTGAAGAAAAAAGAGGAAAAGAGGTTTGAAGAGGAGAGAAGGGGAGGATCAAGGATCGAGAGGCGTTTGGACATCCTCCGAAAACGGGCCCCTGGATGCCGTCACCTCGGGCGACAGGCGGAGGGAGGGACGAGGGAGGGAGTGCTGGGAGGGGAAAATGGGAGGACGGGCAAGGAAAAGGGCGAGGGAGGAGGAGGAGGAGGAGGAGGAGGAGGAGGTGGTGGTGGTGGTGGTGGCGGTGGTGGACGAGTGGGAAGAGGGAGGTGGGAGGATATAGGAGGGAGGAGGAGGAGGACAAGTGTAACACCAGGACGCAGCAACGCTGTTGCAGTACATCCTCTCTCTAAGTTCCCTCTTCATAAAGACCTGCGAGAATGTGTGTTCATTTCGTGAAGTGGCGATTTGAAAGACAACCGTCCGAATGATTTCTTACACGAAGGATCTCACTCCCCTAGACTCCAAACAATGAGAGAGATGGCGTGCCACGAGCAGAAATTAATAGTGAAACATTATAGTTACTCACTATACATGTGCTAAGACTCGGGTAATCCTTCAGTTTCACACACTATCTGTGAACCCTAGATCGTAGCAAAACACTAGTTCTGGAATTAATCAAAGTTGCTGCTGCGTCCTGACAGTCCTGAATCGGACCATCATATTTCCCTGGGATTAAACGCCGCGAACCCACGTGAATGCTGCGTCCTGAGTACAACGCCTCGGAATTCAACCCAATGAATCTTCGAAGCTGCGCAACACTTGCAATGCGGATGTGCGAGGCGCTTAGGCGAGAGCCAAATCTTGAAAAGAAGCCGGCCTCCGTCCTTGTGAAATTGCTGCGATGTCTTAAGACGAGCGTGCGCGGCGCTAGAGCGAGAACTCCGTCTTGGAGTGGGCCCGCCCTGCACCCTTGAAGATGCCGCAGACGTCCAGCTTCAAGACCAGACATCGCGAGGGCATCTCGAGCGAAGCGCCTCGCGCGTCCGTAGCCATCTCGGCTCAGGGTCTGCACTACAGAGCGCTGCAGCCAGGAAGGCCCGTCGCCCGCGGTCTGCGGAGGCGGCGGCCCGACCCGGCACCGGCCAGCGCCGATGCTGCGCCCGCGCCCGCGGCGAGGCCTGCTGGGCGCCCTGCTACTGCAGGCGTTGCTGGGCGTCGCCAGCGGGGAGGACGACGAGTGGGGCATGCCCGGCACTGGCACGGACGACGAGCCGGGCGCCAACGGCACGGGCATCGCGTGCGGCACCCTCGTCGAGGCAGAGAACCTGACGGAGCTGCAGGACTACTTGCTCACTGGGCCGAAGCACATCTTCATGGACATCGACGAGGTCGTGGCCATGCCAGACTTCCCCTTCGTTGGGGGCCTGCCATACACCGAGACCTTCCTGAACACTGTCAAGTCATCAAGCGCCAGCTGCAAGTTGTCGCAGGCCCACTGGCCGAAGATATTTGGCTTCCTGGACAGAGGTCGCGTTGCGGCGCCCTTCAAGCTGGTGGACGATGCGTTCCCCACCGTTATCAGGGACCTGAGACTCTCAGAGAAGTCGGTCCTGGCGCTCACCACGCGGGACAAGAAGTGGGGCTTCACGTTTTCGTTCAGCGGGGAGCGCTTCATGAGCACCCACGCGTTGGTGGAGTTCCTGGTGAAGTCCGGGGTCAAGTTTGACCCGCTGCCCAGGAAGGCGAAAAAGATCGGCAACGCCACGAAGGCTGGGGCGATACTCTTCGGCGGCATGACAGCCATGGGGAGGCACCTTACAGAGATCGTGACGAACATCATCCCCAAAGGCGAGAAGGCCGTTTTCGTCCACGCGAGTTCCCGGACGTTGCGTGGTGCTCTGGAGGCCCGGGGCGACACGTGCCTCGTCGGGATACATTTCACGGGCGCCAAGCACGGCGAGCTTGACGATGCCGCGAGGGTGCGGTGGCTTTGCGACGTCATCAAGCAGCTCGAGAGACCTCCCACGGAGTGCGAGCTCTGCCCCGAGCTCAACAGAGGAGACAACGTCGAGTTATGATTTCGTGCCTAGCACGGCTCGCAGCGAGTGGGCGCGGGCGAGCGAAGCAAAACAAACATAAAAAGCGAAGCGCCTGGCCCAGCCTACGGATACGTCTGGGGATGCGACAGGGAGGGGTTACTGATGAGGAAGAGGGATGGAGGAGGGGGAGGAGGATGACGAGGACGATGCCGAGCAAGAGGACGAGGACGAGGAGGAGGAGGAGGAGGAGGAGGAGGAGGAGGAGGAGGAGAGAAGAGCACGAGGAGGAGGAGAGGAGGAGGAGGAGGAGGAGGAGGAGGAGGAGGAGGAGGAGGAGGCGGAGGAGGCGGAGGAGGAGGAGGAGAAGAGAGGGCTCTGGGTACGAGCCAGGAGGAGAAGAGAGGGCTTGCTCATCGAGAGTTGTTTTTTATTCTTGAAGAGCTCTCGGAGGCATTCAGGCTCCGAGGGACGTGCTCTGTCAGCCGCCTCTCGTCGAGCGCCGCCTGGGGGTGCCAGAGTCGCCACGAACCGCCCGCGTGAGCCCCGATGTGTTGGCCTAAAGCCCAGATAGAGGGAAAGAAAGCCTTCCCTAGACGGAGCTCGGGACCGAAGCCCGATTCGAGGATGGAGGATCAAGGTCTTTGGATGGCTGTTGTCCTTGTGTAGACCTCACGGGCCGCCCTCGTGGCCGCGGCTGGATTCGCCAGGGGGGCGAAATTCAAGTCCTCAGGGCGGAGTCCAGAAGTATAGGGGAACCCCGTCGCGAAAGCATCATGACGCCAGATGTGAGGTAATGACGACCCTGCTCATCCGCTCACCCACCTCCTTCGCCTCCTCTTCGTCCCTCCCACTACCCAATCTAGAGCCCCTGTTAGGAGAGCCCTCGTCGCCACGACTAGACTCGCACCGAGAACCTGGTCAGAACACGCTCTGGGTCAAGTCCAGGGGGCAACTTTGAGCAGGAGGGGGATGCATTGTCTCGAAGGCGGAGGTCTCGAAGGCCTACAGCACGCTGGCGATGATCCTGCAGAACTTGCTGAACAACCCGTCCTCGGACACGCGCGCGAAAAGCAGCACGGGAAATTCTTGACGCTTCGCGTGCCCCCACCAGCCCCTCCAGCAGCTATGCCCAGGCGAGGTGAAGTGATCGGGAAAGTGCAGGAGCAAAGAGGGGGCAGCCGCTGTCGTTCGAGGGAGGAGAGGGATGGATAAGGACGGAAGGAGGAGGAGGAAGAGGAGGAGGAGGAGAAGGAGGAGGAGGATGAGGAGGAGGAGGAGGAGAAGCAGCAGGAGAGGAGGAGGAGGAGGAGGAGGAGGAGGAGGAGGAGGGAAGACGAGGGGCGACGAGGACGGCGGGGAGGAGCACGAGACGAAAGGACGTGGGAGGTGCAGGGAGAGGAGGAGGAGGAGGAGGAATTGGCAGATGATGATGAGGAGGAGGATGTCGACCAGAAGGGCCACAGGCCTCTCGGATACCTCTTGGAGTCTTGTGGGGTACTTCCTGGGAGCCACCGCTGTGGAGCCTTGTCCCAGCGCTGCTGCAAGCTTTAAACGCCTACGAAGCACCGTCGGGGTGTACTCCGCTCTAGGGAACGGTGGAGAATCACAGTATGGGGGCGGTCCAGCCCCGCCTTCTAGGGACCGAGGAAGTTGTCATCTCTTCCTCGGCGCAGAAGGCTTGCGGAAGCCGGCAGAAGTAAAACGGCGACGGCTCAGCCGGCAGAAGTTGGCGGGAAATGGCGGGAGCAAAAGTGCGCCTCTTGATATATTCCAGCATGTCTGTGTTCAGGGTGTCTGGAGCGGGCCATAGAGCATCTCTGTTCTCGCCTGCGGAGGACAAGCACCGCAAGCTGAACACGTCCAGCCCTCGCTTTCAGGAGCTCCTCAGCGACAAGGGAGCCCCAGCGGAGCTGCTGAAGCTGGCAGGGTTCGCAGGAGGAGCAGCAGCAGCCGCAGGAAGAGAGGGGGTAGGCGAAAGGGGGGAGTTAGGAGGAGGAGGAGGAGGAGGAGGAGGAGGAGGAGAAAGAGGAGGAGAAGGAGAAGGAGGAGGAGGAGGAGGAGGAGAATGAGGTAGGAGGCAGGAGCAGGAGGCAGGAGGCTGGAGGTAAAAGGCAGGAGGTACTAGGTAGGAGGTAGCAGGAGGGAAGAGGGAGGACGCGGGAGGGAGAAGGGAAGGGAGAGGAGGAGGAGGAGGAGGAGGAGGAGGAGAGGAGGAGAGGAGAGAAGAAGAAGAGAAGAGAGGAGAGAATGAGAGGAGCAGGAGGTGGAGAACCAGGATGAGAAGGAGGGGGAGGGGGAGGAGGAACAGAGGGAGAGGAAATGGAAGAAGAGGAGCGCAGTCGATGAGGAGGAGGAGCACGAGGAGGAGCAGGATAAGCAGGAGGAGCAGGAGGAGGAGCAGGAGGAGGTCTAACGTTGTACAAAAGAGTAAGGCGGAGTGGAGGGATCACAGGGAGGGGAGAGAGAGGGGGAGGAGGAGGAGGAGGAGGAGGAGGAGGAGGAGGAGGAGGAGGAGGAGGAGGAGGAGGAGGCCGGAACAGGAGCAGGAGGAGGGATAGGGATTGAGAGGTGTGGGGGGGGCGGAAGCGGAATTTGCAGCCGAGGAGGAGGAGGCAGATGAGAGAGGGGGGAGAAGGGAGGAGGAGACGGGAGGCATAATGCATGGCGGAGAAGGACGCGGAGGGAAAAGAAAAGCCGAAGAGGAGGAGGAGGAGGAGGAGGAGACACGAGAAGAACACCAATAATAATAACAATACGAATCATCAAAAGAAGAGGAAGGATAATACTAATCCACCTGAAAATAATACCAATATTAATAATAATAATACTAATAATAATAATAATACTAATAATAATAATAATAGTAGTAATAATAATAATATTAATAACAATAATACTAATAATAATAATACTAATAATAATAATAAACTACTACTAATAGCAAGAAAAAGAAGGCGTGTATGGGAGAAAGGAGGAGGACGTGGGAACAGTTATGGATGAGTAGAGGGAGGGTGGGTAGGAGAGGGAGCAAGGACGGACAAGAAGGAGGAGGAGGAGGAGCACGAGGAGAGGGATGGTTGAGCAGGAACGAGGAGGAGGAAGGCGAGGAGGAGAAGGAGGATGAGGGAGAGGGGGAGGAGGGAGAGGAGGAGAAGGAGGAGGATGAGGAGGAGGAGGGAGGCGGAGGAGGAGCGGAAGGAGGATTGGACGAGGACGAGGAGGAGGGAGCGGGGAGAGGTTCGAGTACCAGCGCCCAAACTTCACGTTCGGGACGGAGCAGCCCACGGAGGCGGCCCAGCGGGTGCTGGAGCTGCTGCAGGCCTCCCGGGCCTCTCCATCATCTTGCAGCGAAGTTCGCTCTTCGCTCCTCCTCCTCCTCTTCATAGTGTTTCCTCCTCCTCTGCTTGATGGCCATGCAGTGACCTTCCTCGAAGCGAGGCTCTCAGAGCCATCGCGCTCGCCTCTCGTCGGATGGATCGGCGCGCCTCGGGCGACGTCTGCTCCTCCCCCTGCCCCCTTCCGCCCAGGCCTGGGCCCCAGCTCGAGCCGAGCCCGGGCCCGAGCCTCGAGCCCGAGCCCGCGCTTGAGCCCGAGCACAGGCCCGAGCCAAGGCCCGAGCAAAGGCCCTGGCTCAGGCCTCGTCGTTCTCCTCCGGATGCTCATCTTGGTCCCTCCCCCTGCTCGGAGGAGGACGAGGATGATGAGGATCAGGGGGAGGAGGAGGAGGAGGAGGAGGAGGAGGGAGGAGGAGGAGGAGGAGGAGGAGGAGGAGGTGGAGGATGAGGAAAGGCAGTGAGGAGGACGATGATGAGAAGGACGAGGGGGAGGGGGAGGAGAGGAGGAGGAGAGGAAGAGAGGAGGAGGAGGAGGAGGAGGAGGAGGAGGAGGAGGAGGAGGAGGAGGAGGAGGGGGCAGACGTTCTGTCGATTCCCGTGTGCCTTCTTGCAGGGCTCTCACCCGCGGGCCTGTGGGCTGTAGTCCTCCCTTGCCTCCTGTTGGCAATGGTGCTCCTCCTCCTCCTCCTCCTCCTTCTCCTCCTCCTCCTTCTCCTCCTTCTCCTCCTCCTCCTCCTACTCCTCCTACTTCTCCTCATCCTCCTCCTCCTCTGCCTCCTCCTCATCCTTCTCCTCCTCGTCCTGCTCCCCCTCCCCTTCCTCACTATCGTCAACAACATGATCATCACCATCGTTGCCGTCGTTGCCTTCGTCGTAGTCGTCATCGTCGTCGTCGCTGTCGTCGTCGCCGTTGTCGTCGTCATCGCCGTCGCCGCCGTCGCCGTCGCCGAGGTCGTAGTCGTCTTCGTCGTCGTCGTCGTCGTCGTTGACGTCGTCGTCGTCGTCATCGTCGTCGTCATCGCCGTCGCCGTGGTCGCAGTCGTCGTCGCAGTCGTCGTCGCCGTCGTCGTCATCGTCGTCATCGTCGTCATCGTCATCGTCATCATCACCATCACGATCATTATCACTACCATCATCATCACCACCACCGTCTTGATCACCATCATCATCAGCAGCATCATCATAATCACCATCATCCTCACATCATCAGCATCAGCATCAGCATTAGCATTCTCAGTATAACTGCTATCAGTATAATGCGCATGGTTCTCATCACTAGCAGTAGCAGCAACGTCAGAGTAATCATCAGGCTCGTCCAGCTAATGCCGCTCCTGCCTTGGATCCTCATCGTATACGTATCGTGTTCCTGCAGCCCCCTACCACTCCCCCGCTCGAACAGTCAATACTTGTCCTGCTCCAGCTGATGCTGGTCACCCTCCGTATCCATCGTTATCGCAGTTGCCATTAGGAGAGATGGAGTCCAGAGCTCTGCAACTGAACAGATCAGAGCGTCGCAGGCTCGGGTCTAGAGGGGGGATCGATGGGACGCAAGCCTCAGTGGAGGAGGCAACCTCCCTGATTCTGGAAGGGAGACGGTTTAGGGGAGAGGGAGTTGGACAGTGAGGCGGAAAGGGAGTAGGAGGGAGAGGACAGTCATCGAAGGACAGAGAAGATCCCAGCAGCCTGATTGGGCGTCAAAAGTGCTCGACGAGGTCCCCATCATATCCGACGTCGCGAAGACCAGGCACGACGTGCGCGAGTCGCGACCGGAGCTGCTGACCCACCTCTTGTGGCACGGCTATTCTCGAGCCGGGCCGATCCGTGGAAGAGCCCCGCGGCGGTGCAGAAGAGCAGCCGGCGGGCGCGCTCTCTCCACGCCGCCTGGACGTCAGGGCTGCTGTCCCGAGCGAGTGGCCGTCGCGGGGCGCCCTCGGCCCCGGGGGACACCTCAGGCCCATCCCGCCACCGAGCCTGGGCCGCGGAGCAGTGCTACCGCGCGCGCCCCGTGAGGAGGCGCAGCGCAACCTCGACCACAGCTGGGCCTCCAGCCGCGCCAGCGCGGGCGCCGCGGGCAGCG